TTGAGGAACTGCCAAACTTTTTCAGAGCGGCTGCTCCATTTTGCATTCTCACTGGCAGTGAATGAGGGCTCCAATTTCTTCACCTTCTTGCCAACACTTTTTACTGTCTGACTTTTTGATAATAGACATCCTAATGAATATGAAATGCTATTGCATTGTGGTTTTGACTTGCATTCCCTAATGACTAATGATACTGGATATCTCTTCCTGCGCTTATTGTCCATTTGTATACATCAATTTTTTGGAGAAATGTCTAACATCTTTTGTAGATTTTAAATTTTTTCTTCTTTTTACTAGTCAGTTGTAATAATTTGTTGTATGTTTGGAATATAATTCCCTTATGAGATATATAATTTGCAAATGTTTTCTCCAGTTCTATGGGTTGTATTTTGTCTTCTTCATAGTGTCTTTTGAAACACTAAAGTTTTAAATTCTGATCAAATTCATTTTCCCTAGTCTCCTATCTTTTTTGCTTATATATTTAGGATCATAGCTAAGGAACCCTTACTTAATCCAAGATCATGAAGATTTATACCTATGGTTTCTCCTAAGAGTTTTATAGTTTTACCTCTCACAGTTAGGTCTTTGATGCATTATGAGTGAATTTTCGTATTTGTTGTGAGGTAGAGGGTCCAGCTTTAATCTTTTGCATTTGGATATATCCTTGTCTCAACACCATTTGTTGATGTGTGTTTGTCGTTAGCTCTTTTATCCCCCCTACACATACACCATTAATAAAGAACCTGGATATGACTGTCATAGTGTTTTAATTTAAATGTTTTTCTTCCTAATTAAAACGTAAGATAATTATTTATAAAATTTGTTTGAAAATTTATTTAGAAATCTAGAAAAGTTAAAACCCAATCTAATACTCAGAAATAATCATTAATAGGGAACTTGTACTTCCTTCTAGTTTTTTTCCCCTTGCACTTAATATAACTAAGATAATTTTGTCCATTACATTTTATATTCTGGATTTTCTGTATTTCCTTTCAAAAGCATTTCTACGTAAGTCATCAGTATTTGTAAACATTCGTCTTAATGACTGCAATATGTTCCATCTGGTGTTACTGCCTTTTCTTATCCATCCTTTTACCAGAGCATTACCGCTCACAGAGAAATCATGGCGCTCTGGCACCACCCCTGCCCAAGTTCAGGTTCTGGTTCGTCTACAGTCCACGTTGTGTGACACTGGTTGTGTACTTTAACGTCAAGATTCCTTGGTTTCCTCATCTAGGAGATGTGGAAAGTGCCGAACTCTTTCACAGGGAGTCGTGTTTAACATTCGATGAGCACCCCACAAAGCACATGCCCATGGCGTGTAAAGTCTCACTAAATACTGGCTCTTCTTATTGATTGAAATTTTTCATTATCTAAAATTTTGTATGTAAATAATGCTATGGTAAACACATATATTGATTATTTTCTTAGTAGCAGAATTTCAGTGAAAAAACAAAAGTATGTACATTTGGGTAGTCTTTACATATTGCCAAAAATCTGTCCAGAAATCATTTAATACTTATATTCCTTTCAACTTATGCCATTTATTTACTTTTTATTATGGAAAAATGGCAAACATATGCTGTAGGACAGGGAAGAATTTAAAAATTCCCATTCACTGTTTATCTAACTTCAACAGTTACAAACACATGATCATTTTTATTTCATCGATACACTCACCTCCTATCCTCCCCCTTTATTATTTTGAAGAAAATCCCAGATATAATACTATTTCATCTATAAATATTACATCATATATTGCTAAAAGATAAGCACTCATGATGAACACATAGCCACAGGATCATTATCATAAGAAAATTATAATAATTTTTGAAATAATTTCTCGGTGTTCAAATTTCCAATTGTTTTATTTTTATTTAGTTTGTTTGATTTTATCTAAATTAATTACAGCTTGGATGATTTCTGGTAATTTCTAGACTATTCATTAGCCAGGACTGGTCTTTCTGTTTGTTCTAATTCCAAATCTAATTATACTACTATTATTAAAACCAGCTACTGTTCACTGAGTTCCTACTATGTGCTGTGCTTTTACGTACTTTCTTCCAATCCTTTCACCCCCGCAAGACTGAATTCATCCTGATTTATATTTGAGTAACTTGAGGTCGAGTGGGATTCTGTGATTGCAGGACATGGGTAGATTCAGGTTCTATCTCCAAGTCTACAGGCCCCATGGAAGCTCAGAGACGCACCCTCCAGTACCATCCCATTTCCAGCTCCTCCTAGTTCGTGTCACCCATCAATGCCCTGTCGATATGGAGATCCCCTTGCAGGTCTCAGGAGGCTCTTCTCTCAGAGACATCCAGCTCTGGAAAACATTGTCTCTGTCACTAACACATCAAGCCCAAGGTTAATTTCCATTGGTCCACTGGTATTTTTGTTTTGTTTTGTTTTGGTTTGTTGTTTTGTTTTGTTTTGTTTGACAGAGTCTCTCTCTGTCACCCTGGCTGGAGTGCAGTGGCGCAATCTCGGCTCACTGCAATCTCTGCCTCTTGGGTTCAAGCGATTCTCCTGTCTTGGCCTCCCCAGTAGCTGGGATTACAAGAGCCTGCCACCACACCCAGCTAATTTTTGTATTTTTAGTAGAGACAGGGTTTTGCCATGTTGGTCATGCTGGCCTCGAACTCCTGACCTCAGGTGATCCAACCACGGCCTCCCAGTGTGCTGGGATTACAGGCATGAGCCACCACACCCTCTCCAGATGTTAGTTTTTAAAAAATGTGTGTCTTACCATCTCAGAACCTAGTTAGCATAGGTTCTTCCACCAAGCGGGTGCTCAAGGGGTGTTGTTGATAGTGGCTCCGTGGCCTTGGAGAAGCATCATGGTCATTTGAAATCACTTTCAAGTTAAGTGTCTTTATCCTTTTTGGCCGGTGGTTTTAAATGTTCAGCTAACTCAATTCATCTGATCAGAAGCTTATACTCTTAGATTATAAAGTATAAGAAACTGAAAGAATAATAGAGTCCAGGTGTATTGCTGAATTTAGCTTTATGATAAAACAGACAATATTTAAACATTAAAAATAATTAGAACTGGGGCTGGAGGAAGAGTGACAACAGAAATTTGGTCTGACATCCCTAATTACAAAATGCTTTTCATTTTTAATTTATTGTCTTAAGTATAAAGAGAAAAGTAACATCCTGTATATGCCTATATCTATATTTATGCTATTCCTAACAGAATGCTCTGAATTTTACTTCTGTTTAAGCAGACACACAAATATCAAATTAGAGTCCTTTATTTTGTTAACTAAGAGGCCATTGCTCAAAATGCAGACCAAATATCCCTGAGAAAATTTACTCAAGGAAAATTCTTGAATCAAGCTGATGATCACCAGAATTCTCACTGTCACAGATGTCTGCTGCGTATTTTTATAATCAGGAGTACCAAGGTTGTAACCTGTATGATAAATGCAAAATGCTTTCACTGAACCTTTAGTATAAACGAACTAGTATTCCCAATCTGCTAGGCAATATGCATAAATATGCAACTTTAATATGCACTGTAACAGACTGTTATAGAATTTTCACAAGGTGGAACACATTTGCAATAGAATTAGGAAGCAACAGCCAGGTATCATTATATTCTAGGTGCCACCAACTCAATCAGAGACTTTCATGGGGAATTCAGAACATTCCATATGCCATTTAGGACAAAAGGAAATTAATCATGCCAATATGGGTTCATGTTTACTGTGCAGTTTTTATGGCAGAGGTTTGCTGCCTGATCTAAGGTGTGCTGCCCTGTGAAAGAGCCTTCCCCACACACTCTGTTACTGTATAGAGATAAAATGTAAAGTGAACTCAAGAGCAGCCTTGATCTAAGGAGAGCATCTCAGCATTTGGATAGATGAGCAGTTAATAAATGAATATATTGTATAGAGTCTATTGGGGTGGCTTCAGGTTAAATTCTCTTCTAACACTCCGTAAATTCAAACTGTACTGGGCAACTCTCTTAAGTGCTTTACATACATCAGCTCGCATACATCAGAGAAATACTGATGAGGTAGGTGTTATGATTCCCATTCACCAGATAAGAAAACATTCTCCATAGAGTTCATTATCTTGCCTGGGACCACATGGTCGGGATGAAATCAAGTGAGACTCCATATCCAGTGCTGACTTGCTCAGTGCTAGTTCCACTACACTAACATGGTAACAGTTGGTGTGCTAGAGCATTCTTCAAGGAGGTTGGGTGATTTACAGATCCCGCTAAATGAATTTTATCAGCTTCTAGATCTGATATTTCTTCCTGGTGGTGGCAGGTCTCCATTCAGTGTGTTATGCTAGAGGGATTGTTTCCCATAGGAAAGCCTATTTACCCAAGTCTTGGCTATATTTTGGAACTGAGTACCAATGCCTACACATCTAAAAAAGTGAGTTTAAGAGTTGGATACCTATGCCTTTTCTACTTTTTCCATAAGTTTATTTTTTGCTGTTTTCATTGTTCTTCACACTTTACCCAACATCATAGAGAATTTCTGCTGTTCACCCGAATGTCTTGCTCCGTATTGAGAGACCATCCACAATGTCCCTGAGATACCAGAAGAAGAACACAAACTAAAACTGTCAAGTTCTCAGTTTTGGGAGTAAGATGGTTCCAGTATATTTCTCCATGCATTATGCTGGAAGCAGGGACATGTTATCTTTGCTTCTCAGGAAATTAGCCTGGCACATGGTCATTATTTTGCAGATGTATGTAGAGCTGGAATTAAACCACAGGAGGCACACCTGAGCTTTCTTTCCTGGTTCTGCAACCCTGTTCAAGGTTTGTTACCTATGAGAGCGTTAAGTTTTTCATTTGTAAATAAGTATAGTGACTTCTGCCGCTTCAAAATTATTGTGGGGAACATGTTGTCTGATGCATGTAATACTCCTCACACAGTGCCCAGTGCATAGGAAACAAGAGAAAGCAGTTATGGCTAGCATGAGCAATGGACCTAAATATTTCAATGTGTACTCTTCCCTCTTATATTTTGCAGAGGTTTCTGCTGTTTTTGAGGCTGGCACATCGGTTACTTACATGTTTCAAGAACCCTATCCTGTGACCAAGAATATAAGCCTGTCATCCTCAGCTATTTACACAGATTCAGCTCCATCCAAGGAAAATATCGCATTTAGCTTTGTGACAGCCCAGACACCCAGTCTTTTGCTCTTTGTCAATTCTTCTTCTCAGGACTTCCTGGCTGTTCTGCTCTGCAAGAATGGTGAGTGTGATGGCATGATGCTCAGTGGAGTCTCAGCCTAGGCTGGAGGGACAGTGTGTGCCCTCCAGAACTATGCATAATTTCAACCTCAAGTTGGTCCCACCTGGGAAGCTTATTTCCAGACTTCCAGACAAATCCTTGATTATACTTTACCTTCATGAGTTGCAATTGGTATTCAGGGCCAGTGTCAATTCACTGCTGAAGTCTCAAATGCATTGACTTTAATTCGCCTCAACTGGATCGCAGTAATTCTTTATTATTTATTCTGTGCTGGAATCCATTAAGTGCAAAGGAGAAGATCATAAGCATATCTGAATTTCAGAAGGACACTTGCCACATATATTTTGTCATCTATGCTGCAGTCTTTTTTACTGAGGACTGTTAAAACAATGAGCATACTTGCAGGCTGTATTAATAGAAGGCGATTGTCCAGGTCTTACAGAGAAGTAGTTAGTATATAAGTCATAACCTTGGGGAATAGCTGGCTTGCTTCTGAGAATCAGATTTCTTTTTTTCAGGCTTTTTTTTTTAAGATAATGACAAACTGTGGCATTTGTTATTTTGAAACAGAAAGATTTGGGGCATTTTATTTGACAAAACTATAATACTATTGTTTTATAAATCAAAATGTTATCACTTCCTCTCTTTTTAATAATTACTCCAACTTGATACAAAATTCACAAAAATACAAGGCATTTTTTTCCTAATGCTAAATAAACGATTAATTTTTAAAATTTTTTATTTATTATTTAAGCTTCAAAACTAATGATAAGCTCAATATCATCGTATCTGAGGAAGAGATCATTTTTCAATTTGCATGGTATCTAATAGGTTCTAGCACCTAAATTGCCCATGATTAATTTAAGTAGTAGGTGAGAATCAGATTTTGAAAAGAATTTGGACAAAATGAAAGATGAGAAGTTGAGAGTGATAAGCAAGATGGAATACACTTCATGCAAGGAATGGTGAACGACAGCAGTTAGGATGGCTACTATGAGTTAAGATTTTCCTCTGATCCTGCTTAATTCCACTCTGCAAGGATGACTCTCGATACAGTCATGGCAGGAATACTATTAGATGAAAACCTTATGGGGTAGAACATACAATAGTATGATTTCAAAAAACACTGTATTGTGATTAAGAATACAACTTCCTTCTCTTTGTCATCTGCTGTTGTCATGAGATGGGGCTGGGGCTTGGCAGATTCTGCCCAAGCCGTGCCACTGAGTTTCTGCACAGACAGTGGTGGGACTTAGCAGAAAGGAAGCCTGGAGTGTGTCCCATACACAGAGTCCTCTCGAGGCCTTTGGAGAAAACTCTCAATGATTATCTTGCTTTGTTTTTTCTTGGGTTTATTCCGCTTTAATTCATCTTGCTTTCCAGCTATTTACAACATCAAAAGCCATGAATAATGTGTGGGCATAAAGAAATGATCAAATGCTGAATCAGGCCTGAAGTGAAATAATTATGACGATGGACCACATGATGTAACAAGTGTCCTTCTTTCTAAGAGAAAAATAGAAGGGAAGGAAAATAGAGAGAAATAGAGGCTAGGATGACAATGTTCATTCCAAGCCCATCTGGAATTCAAGAACCCACAAGAGAGATGGGTAAACCCTGGGTAATTAGATCTGTTTATCAATAGCCCTTCATGTGATTATGATTAGGACCATTCTATCAACACAGCAGATCTTAGACTCTGCCCATCAGGGCTTTGTGAGGGTGATAAAGCTGATGGAGGACACTGAGGCATGGAGAAGTTCAGCAGGTGGACATACCAACGAGGTAATCTATGGCACAGTGTGGACCAGAATCCAGGATTCCCAATAGTTAGCCAGCAGCCTTCATTCTAAATAATATCATCTTCTAATGATGTCATTGGACCATAGTAAGATGGTTGGTTACAACCAATGCAAGATTTTTTCCAAAACATCTTTTGGGTATAGTTCCATAGGCACAATTGTACCTGTCAGGCCATGCCTAGGGACATACAGCTGCCATGAAGACAGACAGTGCATAATGAATATAATTGTATCAAATTGCACACACACATATAACTCTGTACTGAGCACTATGTTAATTAATCCACACAACATTTACTTCTCATCACAACCCTGCTTGACTGATTTATTGTTGTAGAAACTGAGGCACTTCAAAATCTCACAGCAAGTAAGAAGCAGAGCTGGATTCACCCTCCCTTCTTCAGTCTGGTGGCATAATCTGTATTCTTAACCACCAGGGCTAAACAAAGAGTGTTTTTAAAATGCACAATGTTTCAAATAATGTGAATCTATTTAATTGAGAAAGCATTCTTGAATTCTTCCCTGCCCCTATCTTCTTACATCCTGAAGTCTTACTCTATTAAAAGCTGCCTGATCCCATAGGCATCTGCACGTTTTAAAATCCTGGCTACATGCAGGAGTCAAGAAGGTACTTGTGCCTTGTTTGTATGATTGTTTAAGCTTAGGTCTCAGGGCATGTGTGAAAGTTCAGGTATGAGTCCTGAGCCAAATATGAGTGACCATGGTCTGTGACACAGTCCTCAGGAGGTCCTGAGAGTGTGTGCCCAAAGTGGTCAAGGTACAGGTTGGTTTTATATATTTTAGGTTTTATATATTTTAGTTAGCTCAGGCTAACTCATGGGAGATGGATGTGCAGGACATTGTTATTAATAGAGTGTCCCCCTTCCCCACTCCAGCTCAGAACACCCCCACCACACCTTGCTCCAGGGAACCCACAGCAGTAGGTTGTGGGAAAGATGCCCTGTTTAGAATCCTGGGCATCTTTTGCCATCTCCTTATACTGCAGAGATACAACTAAGATATGTGCTCAGTCATTCATTTTTTCATTAACTCTCTGGGTAATTACTAGTCAAACTGCACAGTATCAGGAACTGTGAAGATAAGCAAAGAAAAGCAGGACTAAGTGCTGTCTCAAGGCGATAAGGAATGACAGACTAAAAAATCTGCCTTTAACTTTTTGAAAGGCAATCTAGATAGAGGAGGCAATCGTGTTACCCAGATTTCTAAAGCAATCTAACTAGAAGGGAGATTTTGACTAAATTTTAACATGAATCTTCTAGAAATTCAGGGATCATAACAGTAGAACAAAATACCTTCAGTGGTAGTGAATTCTTTGCCGTTGAAGGTCCTCAAATGAAAATGCATGACTATTTGTTGGAGAAACCATAATAACTATCGCAGGAGTGGACAACAGGAAAAAAATAATAACATCTGAGTTTCTTCCCAAGTCTTAGATTTTGTGATTCTTTATTCCCTTCTTGTCTAGTCTTACATTAATATTTCTTTCTGTTAAGGCTTCATTTGCAGACTTTGAAATGTTGCTTTGAGGAATAAAGAATCGATATTCTTACAGCTTGTTCCCAGTATGTTTGTTCCATTAGGCCATTGACCTAATTACCAGAGAATCATGGGGGTGGGCATTGCATGATAAAGAACTGGGAATATTTTAATGTTATTTTGATACACTGTCATGAAAACCTATACCTGCGAAAATACTATTGAGAGTTAAAGATTATTAGAGATTGTGAAAAAATCGGAAAACCACGGGGTTTACAGGGGAAGGTTATTTATTATCTGTGAGAACTTTTATGATAACATTGATTCAAACCTCCCTGAGAAGAGTTAAGAGTCTTCTGTTAGTCCAGTTGTCTTAGCCTTTGTGACTGAAGATAGCCTTGGGAATCTGGTGGAAATTATGATGAGAGGGCCACTCTTATAGGGAGCCCATTTTGCTTTCTCCAAAAAAAAAAAATCGAGTATCCGCCTCCAGGTTTGCACAATGGCTCTAACTTCAGCACTCTTGGGTTAAGAAGTCAGCAGGTGGAGTAAGGTGGATGAGTTGCATAAACACTGCACACAATTCTCAGCTTGCAAATTCATTTAATATAGTTGAACAGGCCAGAGGAAAGAAGGTCAATGTGATTCAAAGCCATGGTTATAAGTCTCTCCCTGGCAGGGGTTTGATTTTCCAGGGTTGGAATTCTTCTTTGCCCTTTATCATTATTCTTGAAATTTCTCCAACTAGAGACTCATTCAGGTTAAACTGCTGCTGTGTTTTCAAAGGAAAACAGGTACTTCTTCCTAAATAAAAAGGAATAATTTTAAATTCTGTAATGGAAGAACAGAGGCAGAAAGAGAGACATTTTGAGGTCAGAGTTGTTAGGAAAGAGAAGGCGGTTTTAGTTCCATAACCTGGGGCTTTGGCCACAGACAACTTCTCTTGAGTCTGGACAGTTGGAGGAGAAGGGGTCTTGAAGAGAGGAAAGGGGTCCAGAAAGGGAGATGAGCTCATTCTAAAGATACACAGGACCTTCACAGAATTGTATTGTGTGATGGTTTTGCCTTCTCCACAGTAGTGGGGATTTTTCTTTCAAATTTGCAACTCAGAAAATATCCATGGAACACCTACCAAGTGGCACATACTAGCTCATGTACTGGAGAGACAAAGACAGACAGAAAGGACCCTTCCCTGGCTTTAAGACATCTAGTTGGCCGGGCGCGATGACTCACGCCTGTAATCCCAGCACTTTGGGAGGCCCAGGCGGGCAGATCACGAGGTCAGGAGTCGAGACCATCCTGGCTAACACGGTGAAACCCCGTCTGTACTAAAAATACAAAAAACTAGCCAGGCGAGGTGGCGGGCGCCTGTAGTCCCAGCTACTCGGGAGGCTGAGGCAGGAGAATGGGGTGAACCCGGGAGGTGTAGCTTGCAGTGAGCCGAGATCGCACCACTGCACTCCAGCCTGGGCGACAGAGCAAGACTCCATCTCAAAAACAAAAAAAAAAAAAAAAAAGAAAGAAATCTAGTTATGGGACAGAAACATAAATAAAAACAACCGAATGTCATAGATGCTAGGTAGAAGTCTGTTCTAGGTAGAGTGAGTTAAAGATGATCAATTATCTCTGGGAGAGAAGGTCAGAAAAGGCTTCCTAGAGAGGGTGACGCTTGAGTTGGTCATGAAAGATAAATTAGTGTTC